TACATTTCAAGTAGAATAAAGGGAATGGTGAACTACATGGTTCCCATGGTATGATTGAAGGATACCTTGCTGAAGTTAAGCAGATAGAGGTTTGGACAGTGCCTGGCTGGGAGATCTTCTGAGAATTCCATTTAAGCCATCTTGAGTTCCATGATAAAATAAAGGATATAAATATAATACATTAATAATAAAAATGTGTAGACCACAAATAAGTAATATTGTATGTTAATACAGTTTCATAGAAATAATGCCACCTAATTTATTGCTTCATTCTCACTAGATACTTTCAATGATCCAAGGGTCTTTAACAGTTCCTCAGGCTAGAATCAAATGCTTCCTTCTCCGTATATTGAACAACATAGATAACTTGATACCAATTCATCTCAGACATTCTGGGAACAAACTGGGTGTAGTAAAAGTTGAACACTGATAGCAACTGACTGAAGTAATCCACTGGACATGCCAATTAATATCTACCGCCTGCGTAGATACACTATTCATTCAGTGAGAATCTGTAGTTTGCTATTCCTCCCCTTCTGTTACAAATACTTTATATAGTCAAGTTGTGAATAACAGAGAAAATGTCTAGCTTCAGCTCCTGCTGTACAGAATAACTTTCCCTCCCCCATGCCTCCTCCCACAAAACTACAGCCCAGCTGAAGCCCTGTTTGAACTTTGCCAAATTGCTTAGGTCACTACTATAAAATAAATTTGATATTTTAAGATGCTAGTTACCACCTTAAAAGTGCCTAATTTTATATTATTTGAAATCTGTAGATAATCTTGCCATATACATCATCATCATCATCTATCTATCTATAAAATTTATAAACCGCCCTTCCCTGAAGGGCTCAGGGCAGTATACATCATCATAGAACATACAACAAGTTAAAAAAATACAATAATACATACTTAGTGGGTAGTTAGTGGAGGCTGCTTTTGCTAATAGGGCTGAGGTTTTTTTGTCATGGGCAACAACGATAGCGACAAGCCCCTGTCCGAGTTGACAGCGCAGCCAGAATCACCAGCATCACCAGAGCTGGAAGCAGGCCCCTTTGACTCCTTGGGAGTTGACAGCATGCCACCGCCAGCACCTGAGTCGATAATCCCACACCTTGTCTAGCCACAGCCAATGAGGTACAGGTGCAAACAGAAAGTCCACCTGATTCACCTCCACGGGTGGCTCGGCTGAGGGAGCGGCTCAGCAGGGACTTAGCAACTCGCCGCCGAGACTCACGCTGGCAGGGAAGGCGGGTGCCAAGCCCTGAGTACTGACAGGAGTGGCACCGCTGCAAAGGATTCCTTTAAGCAGTGGAAAGCTAGTCACAGTGAGGCTGATAAAACGGAACACAGGCTATGGCAAATAAAATGCAAGTCTGTGGTCAGGCAGGCAAAAAGGGAATATGAGGAGCATATAGCAAAAAACGTAAAAAACAACAATAAAACTTTCTTCAAATACATTAGAAGCAGGAAACCAGCCAGGGATGTAGTGGGGCCCTTGGATGACCAAGGGTTAAAAGGAGTACTGAAGGGTGATAGGGAAATGGCTGAGAAGCTAAATGCATTTTTTGTCTCTGTCTTCACTGTGGAAGATGAGGAGTGCTTGCCCACTCCAGAACTGCTGATTTTGGGAGGGATGTTGAAAGACCTGAGTCAGATTGAGGTGACGAGAGAGGAGGTCCTAAAACTGATAGACAACTTAAAATCTGATAAACCACCAGGCCCAGATGGCATACATCTGAGAGTTCTGAAAGAAATCAAATGTGAACTTGTGAATCTCCTTACAAAAATATGTAATCTTTCCTTAAAATCTGCCTCCAATCCTGAGGACTGGAAGATAGCTAATGTCACTCCCATCTTTAAAAAGGGTTCCAGAGGAGATCTGGGAAATTACAGGCCAGTCAGTCTGATGTTGATACCAGGTAAATTGGTGGAAACCATTATTAAGGAAAGCATTAGAAGGCACATATATGAACAAAACCTATTGAGGCAGACTTAGCATGGGTTCTGTAAGGGAAGATCTTGTCTCACTAACCTGTAAGTGTTCTTTGAGGGGGTGAACAAACATGTGGACAAGGGGGACCCAATAGATATTGTTTACCTTGACTTCCAGAAAGCTTTTGATAAATGTCCTCATCAAAGGCTCCTAAGTAAGCTCCTTTTGTGGATCAAAAACTGGCTAATTATTAGAAAACAGAGAGTGAGTATAAATGGGCAATTTTCTCAGTGGAGGGTGGTAAGCAGTGGGGTACCGCAGGGATCAGTACTTGGTCCACTGCTTTTTAATTTGTTCATTAATGATTTGGAGTTGGGACTAAGCAGTGAAATGGCTAAATTTGTGGATGATACGAAGTTGTTCAGGGTGGTGAAAACCAGGGAGGATTGTGAGGCACTCCAAAGGGATCTGTCAAGGATGGGCAAGTGGGTGTCAACATGGCAAATGGGGTTCAGTGTGGCCAAGTGCAAGGTGATGCACATTGGAGCCAAAAATCCTAAATATAAATACACATTGATGGGGTCTGAACTGGGAAAGACTGAACAAGAGAGAGATCTTGGAGTTGTAGTAGATAACTAACTGAAAATGTCGAGACAGTGTGTGACTGCAATAAAAAAGGCAATGCTATGCTGGGGATTATTAGGAAGGGCATTGAAGACATATCAGCCAATATCATAATGCCCCTATATAAATCAATGGTGCGACCTCATTTGGAATACTGTGTGCAGTTCTGGTTACCACACCTTAAAAAGGATATTATAGCTTTGGAAAAAGTGCAGAAAAAGGCAACTCGAATGATAAAAGGGTTGGAAAATGGAACTCCTAGAGTAGCTTCAGAGGGTGGATGCTCCAGTCTAGAACTTCCACTTTTCCTGTGGTATACCATAAAAACTAGAGAAAACTGATCGATTATTGATTAAGATACCAAAGGCCAGATGCTGCTTGGACTGCTATTGGGTGAAGTCCTTCTGTGGATCTTCAGATAAAAATTTTCTCCTTAGTCCTGAGAAAAACATGAAAGGGAATTTGAGAGGTTTTTTGTTTTGTTGTGTTGTATTTTGGGAGGGTTTGGGGAGGGGGTTGGTTGAGTACAACGTAACTGAATAGTAACCAGTTATACCAGCACAAATATTTAGTATCGCAGGGTTACTGTAACATACAGAATATATTCATACAGAAGCCTACCAGTCATGAAAGGTGGAAAAAAGGCAGGGGAAAGTGATATGAGGCAAGAAATTTAAATTTTAAATTTGAACTGTAGTGGGAGGAAGCAACCTCATGGAAAGGGTGAGGGTTGGAGAAGATGTCCTTTGACCTTGATGTGATGTTCCTGGGACAGAAGTAACTACCGTGAAATGCTTTACCTGTATCAGGCTGTTATAGGGCTGCCAACCCCCCTCACTTCCGGTGACGCTCTGGCGGTGCGCGCGCGCATCCGCAGATGGCTCCCGGACCGGCAGGACGCTCCCCCACCGGTACGTTTTTCGGATTTGGCAACCCTAGGCTGTTACTAAAGACCCAGGAATAGCCCCAAGGGCTAAAAGTCACTATTTGTGACAAGGTGGTGGAAGAACCACAACAAATTGGTAGCATAGATATTTTCCCGTAATGTTATACCGATCTGCTTTGAGAAGTTTATATTTCGGAATCCCAGCAAGTGCCTATGGATGTTTTGCTAAAACTGCATTGACTTATTTCATACTGAGTAGGAGTTATTTTGAAAGTAAACATACACACACGCACACACATGAATTTGTAGTATTGTAAAGGTAATAGCAGGACCTGCGGTGGCTCAAGTAGGTAAGACGCTGAACTGCAGGCTGGGAAAGGTCAGTAGTTCAGCAGTTCAAGACCCGAGTGTGCCGCATGATGGAGTGAGCTCCCGTCTCTAGTTCCAGCTCCTGCCAACCTAGCAGTTCGAAAGCAAGAAATTGCAAGTAGATAAAACTTCAGTGGGAAGGTAACAGCGTTCCGTGCGCCTTGGTGTTTAGTCATGCCGGCCACATGACCACGGAAATGTCTTTGGACAGCGCTGGCTCTTTGGCTTTGAAACAGAGATGAGCACTGCAACCCTAGAGTCGGATTCGACTGGCTTTCGAGCAAGGGAACCTTTACCTTTACCTTAAAGGTAATAGCAAGCAGGGGGGGAAAGAATTCTACTGAGCATTATAATGATGTTCTATTCAGGTCTAGTAGGGGAAAACATAGTATTGAGCAATTACATTGGTAGGAAAAACCTGTACACATTCCTGCAAAATATATAGCACATTTTGATGAGTTTCATCATGACTTTATATTTAAAATGTCTTCTGGTCTGGGAGGGAGAGCCATTGATGAATCTTTGCTATTCTATACCACTGTCCTGTTTAACATGATCTTCCCTCTGAAGAAAAGACCCTTATCAGCCCATAGTCATGCTTGCTGGAGCATAAGCGTTTCAGTACAAGTGAAAAGAAAAGCAGTCATTCACCTTATATCAAAGAAGAAGGACTGTTCTGTAGAAAGAAAATGTTAGATAGAGATAACTAGAAGGAGCTGCAGGCTGTGCAGACGGCAAACAGCTTTTAAAAATCCCAGGACTGCAAGCATCACCGAATGCTGCTGAGTGAAGCAACTGCAGGAACCTTGCAGGGAGTGGCAGCACACTTGTGCTTATGTAGGAGGAAAATGATAACGGGTTAAGTCAGCAACAGCTCCACGAGAAGCTTGATTTAAAGAGGGGGAAATATTGATATCCTCTCCCTCCCCCTCTCTCGCGTGGATGGTCTGTTCTTCCTAGTGCATCACATGGGCTTGTTAGTCCCTAGTGCTGCAGAAGCACCAGCTGCTGCTGATCAGCGGAGGGAGTGTGTGTGTCAATGCTTTGTGGTCCCACACGCCCGTTTAAAAGAAGGGGAGACCACAATGTGCCTCTGAGCAAGTGGGTGGGAACCTGCGATCTGCTTTTTGCTTCCCCTGTGATCCAGGAGCTAATCATGTCTATCTGTTGTTGCCTTTTTTTCAGGGATTATGGATCCTCAAAAAGGAAATCAGGTAAGAGAGGCTCTTCTTTTATCTTTTCTTGGTATTGAGCCTAATACATAAGTCAGTAATCAAAGTGTTTTCTGGCAATCGTTCCTTTATTAAGTGTAATTTGGTGACTGTTTAATGGATGATTTAATTTAGTGCTGCTGCCCCTTAAAGAAAATGATATCAAACCGATTCTTACAACTGAGTGGATCAAATGTGTAGTTAAGGTGAAAATGTACCTCTTCTCCCCCCCCCCCCCAATCTGTGTACTTGAATAAGTGTTTATAAATCTCCAATTCAGGAATATAGCTGTTTGGTGTTTTAGCAACCTCTTGTGATTCTGTGGCTTTACTAGATGGCCTTCAAGTTAGTTCCGGTCCTTCACTGATGTTAGCTCTGCCATAACCAAAGCTTTGCGAATATGCTGTCCAGGACTTATATGAGCATATTTATGTTGGAACAGGAATATGCACACAATGTGTTTTGTACCCTCTTTCCTTGGTTGGATCTTCCACTGTCTCTATTCACCCTGATATTAGTTGACTTACTGTCCACTTCCTCATTTTTAGAGGGTGATCACCTGTACTTTTTACCTGTGTAGAAATGGCAATTTTTGATGAGTGGCTTATTGTATGGGGTAAGAAACTTCAGGTTAACATTCTCCCCCTTGTACAGTTGTTAAAGATACAGAAGCCCTAGCATCCTCTGTTCCCCTGGCCTTTCTATTTGCTTATCTGCCTACTGTCGGGTGGATTTTGTTTTGGGGTATGCATATTTCTTGACTTTTATAGTTTACTGTACCCTGGAAAAATAGCAATTATTTTTCATATGAGTTATCTCTCATAGCAGAGTTATAAACCATAAGATTCTTTACATTCCTGTTAGTCTGATTGCCATAACTTTTACCAGCAAGTCTCTTAAGCAATTGAAATATTACAGAGTTGCTTTAGACTTTGCTGGGGTGATAGGGGAGAGGCTTTTGGCTCAATAATAGAGTATATCTTTGGATGGAGGTAGCAGTCCCTATCATCTCCTGTTTTAAAAGATTTCTGCTAGCAGGGCTGAGAAGGCCATCTGCCAAAGACCTTAAAAACTGCCTATCAGTAGAGGTTGCACTGGGCTAAACTCACCAATGGTTTGATTTTGTAGGACTGGGGTGGGTGTGGTTTTTTTTAAAAAAAAAAGTTTCTGAGGCATCTGAATTACAGACTGGAAGGTGGTATGTTTTCTTTGGAGGTGGAAAGACACCCAGCTCCTGGTTATTTGATTAACTAATTTTCTGAGTTTATATTTTGCACTGTTCAGTTAAGCAGTATACTGAAGGGCCTTCTTCTGTTGGAAATTCTGCAACAGGGTTGAACTATATCTTGTGTAGAACAGATTGAAAATGGTCTTCCATTTACTGTGTGCAGGGGCAGACTGACCACTTAACTATTAGGGAAATTTCCTGGAGAGCCAGTTTGGTATAGTGGTTAGGAGTTTGGACTCTAATTTGGGAGAACCTGGTTTGATTCCCCACTCTTCCACATGCTGCTGTTGGTGTGATCTTGGGTAAGTCATAAGTTCTTTCAGAGCTGTTCTCTCAAGGGCAGTTCTCTCAGAGCTCTCTCAGCCCCACCTACCTCACAGGGTTCTGTTGTGGGGAGGGGAAGGGAAAGGAGATTGTAAACTGTTCTGAGACTCCTTCAGGTAGTCAAGGGCGGGGTATAAATCCAATCTCTTCTTCTCTTCTAGAGGGCCACTAGTGGCCAGAAGCAAGCATAACAAAGCTCTAGCCAGAGTAGGGTTGCCATCCCCCCAGTGGGGTCAGGGGATCCCCTGATTTTGGGGCCCCCAATCTGCCACCAGCCAGCTGGCTGGCTGGAGAAGCCCCACTCCCAAACAACAGTGTCCCAACACAATGATGTCACTATGCTCTAGTATTCAGGGGGGGGACTCTGTGGTTAGCAGCCGGGAGTCAAGAAGCCAGGAGCCCTCGCTGCAGCAAAGGTGAGACCTGGCAACCCTAAACCAGAGCCTCAGGCCCAAGTGGCTTCATTGCCTCTGGTAATTGATGTCAGGTCCAATTAAAGTTGTGAGTGAGCAATTTGGCTGCTGCATAAATTAGCTTGCTCTGGAGCCATCCTTCCTAAGCTAAGACAAAAAATGTATGAGCCAGAGGCTAAAAAACTGTGAACTAGCTCACACTAACTCAGCTTAGAGGGAACACTGGTCCGTCCCCTCCTGCCTCTTCTCCCTCTGCTTCTACTTTTCAGGAGGAAACCCACTGTTTCCACCACTGAGCTGAGTGACCCATGCAGCACAGGCTTGTGGGATCAACAGAGCTCAGGTTGTTCCAGGCTTGTTCACTTCCCAGGCCACTCCTGATTGTATGATATAGGTAGACTAAACCACAGTGGGAGTTCTTATTTATTTATTTAATTTATTTAGTTTGATTTGTACCCCACCCTCCCCGCCAGAGCAGGCTCAGGGCGGCTTACACAAAACTGCAAAAAATAAATAACAGATAAAAACATCAATATAAATATCCTTATAAAACACAACATAATTATACTAAAACCAGACCTTTTGGGTAGAAATTATGACTTGCCCCCAAACCCAAGTGAGCTGCTTTTTGTGCCTAAGTACAGAGAACAGATCTTAGTTTAGGTAATCCATATTCAAGTTCCCCATAGAGAACCACAAAGTGTAACAATATTATCCCATTTCTCCATAATTATATTCACTATTTGTAAATTTACATAAACTGTATAGAGAAGTTGGCAAGTACTATGTTTATGGGAATTCTCAACTTCTAGTTCTATGTATTCTTAAACAATAAATTACCAGCATGCTGTTCAAAGATTTTTTACTAGTATAAGATGAGTTATTTTTGTAGTTTGTTGAAAAAATCTGAAATATTTTTGTGCCTGTTATAAAAGGCTCAGGATGACAGGATACCATTTCAAGGGAATATCAAATTCTCCTGAAACCATACTTTAAGGAGTGCTTTCTTCAGTTACTGTGGGAGCCACTAGTCCAAGTTCCATTTCTCTTGAAAAACTGAACTATGCTTCTCTGACTGTCCTTACTCTGGGTCTGGGGATGGATTTACTCTGTATGGATGTACTCTGGGTCTGGGGAAGGCTAGACTGGAACAAGGCCGAGCAGTTGGCCATCAGGACACTCTATAGTAGGGTTGCCAAATGGGCCCGGGGGGTGGGGAATCCCCCGCTTCGGAGGCCCAATTTCCGCCACGGCGGAATTGGGCCCCGGGGGGAACCCTGCCCCCGAAGCTGTGTCACCAGAGGTGACGCAGCCACGTTGCTGTTGGGGGTGTGGCTGAGCATGTGGTTTTCCCCCCGACGAGCTCGGCCACACCCCCAACGTCAGCAACGTCGCACGTCACTTCTGGTGACGTGCTGCCGGCGCGCGCGCGCCCAGCTACAACTCCCGGACCGCGGCGAGGTTCCCCCGCCGCAAGGGGTAAGTCCAGTTGGCAACCCTACTCTATAGGATGGTGGAAAGGCTTAGCCTATTCCTAGAAAAAGAAAGTACGCATCCATCAGTAAAGTTTCCAAAGTCATAATAGTTGTGTTCAATCACTTGCTTTATGATGCTTGAACCCTCTTCCTTGTCCCCCCCATCCCCCATCCCCGCTTCATATCTTGCTGCTTTACAGAGTGGGATCTTCCATTAAAAGTTACTTGTGCCTGACCATGAAAAGATTTGAACCTGGGTCTGTTCCTCACTGGTCCTCACTGTTTTAAGGATCCATTGTATCTGTCCAACAACTATGGTTTTATGCAGCCTTGGTTATAAATTAGGCCAATCCTTTTTTCTGCTCTCCAGAATACCATCTGTGCTCTTGGAATTTGGTCTGCTTTTAATCTCAATGTGTCTCTAATACTAGACTTTCCTAATACAGTAGACTCAGTATGGATGTGGTAGTAATGATTGCTGGGAATCCTAACCTGTTTCTTAGACAATAGTTGCTTCTTCAGACCGTAGGAAAGCAAGCACATACTGCTTTAACTAATAAAAATGTTGCTGCTGCTAGCCCTATGTTAATCTGCATAAGAAGAACTCTTGTGACCAAACAAAAAGGCCTTTCTGTTGCCTGTAGTGGCCAGCCAGATGCCTCTGGGAAGCACACATGCTGGGCATGAAGGAAAGGGCCTTCCTTCACCATTGCCTATGTGCCAGTAGTTATTATTGCATCTTTGGACAGTGAATGCTATATTGATACTGCATTCTATGAAGAAGTACATAGTTCTGACTCCTGTGGATCTACCACCTGAGGAGAATATTTTCTTTATCTTCTGCTGGCACTGTCACGTAGTTGGGAAAAGCTGGTGGTATTGAAAAGCAATCTGATTATACATCATCACTCATGCCTCTACTGCTGGCTAAATAGGGTGCCAGATGCAAAGACAGATGGGGCTATTCTACGTGTGCAGAACCACCTCTGACTTCTATAACAATGAGAAAGGTTTCCCCTATTGAATCTTTCCCTTCTCTGCCACTGTCAACCTGGGAATTCCCTGGAATTACAGCTCATCTCAGGCTACAGAGATCATTTCCCCTGGAGAAAATGGATGCTTTGGAGGGTGGACTCTGTGGCATTGCACCCCACTGAGTTCCTCGTCCTTCCCAGGCTCCATCCCCAAATCTCCAGGAGTTTCCCAACCTGGATCTGGCAACCCTACTCCCCCATCCCCCACCAGTGGCCAGGGAGGACCTGGCAACTCTATATTGGAGACTTGCCTCAATTTCCCTCTGGTCTCACAAAGAGGTTGCTCCCCACCATCTGCTAAAAAAGTTTGAGTCCAGTGGTACCTTTAAGACCAACAAAATTTAATTCTGGGTATAAAATTTGTGTGCATGCATACACAAAAGTTTATACCCAGAATTAAACTTCTTTGGTCTTAAAGGTGCCACTGGACTCAAACTTTGTTTTAAGATAGGATTACTGTTCCCTACATCCAGAATGGTAGAAACTTTGTGACAATGGCAAGCACTTTCTGGAGGGTCTGCCTCTGCAT